ACACCCCGGGCCCCTGTAAAGCCGACCCTGGGGTGTTCGTGAGGCTGCCGTGGGGCCGGGCCTGGGGTGTCCGTGGGGCCCCTGTGAGGCCGATCCTGATGTGTTCGTGGGGCTCCCGTGGGGCCGGACCTGGGGTGCCCGTGGGGCTGGACCTGGGGTGTCCATGGGGCTCCCGTGAGGCCGATCCTGGGGTGTTCGTGGGGCCCCCGTGAAGCCAGGCCCACGGTGTCCATAAAGCTTCAGCAAGACACGTCCCAGGGTGTCCGTGGGGGACTCTTGCAGAGCCAGACTGGGGGCCCACGCAGGGCTGGGCTGCAGCACCCGTGGTGTCCTGGGGCAGGGAGAGCACATGAGTCCTCCTTTGTGGAGGCTGGGGCGTTTGTGGGGCCAGCCCCGGGGCCCGTGGGGCTCCTGATGGGCTGAACAGGAACCCCTGGGCTTGCTGGGTTTGGGGGAGGTCTGTGGGTCCCTGTTGTTGCTCAGCCTGGAGTGTCCACGGGGTTGGGAACAGGGTGTCAGTGAGGCTGGGCTCAGTGCACTTAACCCCCGTCCCCGCTGCGGCGCCCCAGGTCTTCGTGCTGCTGTTCATCTTTGTGAAACGCCAGATCATGCGCTTCGCCATGAAGTCCCGCCGTGGCCCCCACGTGCCGGTCGGACAGCACGCGCCCAAGGTGGGTACGCACGACCCTGCGATGGGGATGTGCCCTCCCTCCCCTGCATCTGCGGACCCGTCCGTGCCCAGAGGGGCAGGCAAGGTCTGCTTCAAAATCCGATGTTTCCAGGAGCTGTCATCTCGCTGTAGTGACGGCAGCTAGGGGGGGAGTGGGTTTATTTCCAAGGGCCTCCAGGACATTGCTGGAACATGTCCAGAGGAGAGCCACAAAGCTGGGGAGGGGTCTGGAGCACAAGTCCTACGAGGAATGGCTGAGGGAACTGGGGGTGTTTAGTCTGGAGAAGAGGAGGCTGAGGGGAGCCCTCATTGTCCTCTACAACTGCCTGGCAGGAGGCTGTAGTGAGGTGGGGGTCGGCGTCTTCTCCCTGGTAATGGACGATAGGACGAGGGGGGATGGTTT